TTAAAGCGCCCTTCTTTCTCCGTGCTCGCTGTTGTCGCCCTGTTGATGACGTCAGCGACGCGGTTCAATGGGGCGCGCTTTAGTCGAACGCGGTTTTGTCGTGCCACGCTTCTTCAAAAGGCAGCTGGACTTTCGCCTGAATGCCGTTTCGCTTCTCCTCAAATGGAACTGAAGAAGCTTCTTGGATGAGACGCGAAACACCTTCGAAGGAAAAACCCAAGAAAGTCCTGTTGCCTCTTGGGAAAAAAGCTCCTTTGGGACAACCAGGACCCGGAGGACGGAGAATCTCCAGAGGCCTTCAGCAGCCTCCAACGTATCTGGGGCCGTGCCCGGTTGCTTGGAAGCAAGAAGGGGAAGGAAGGGTCTGCCTTGGGAGACCAGGGGCTCCGGCTTGCATGTTTCCACCACAGTGGGCACTTTGCCCCTTTCGTTTCCATTGGTGGCACAGTGGCCAGAATGCAGTCCTGCAGGCTAACTCTGCCCAGTGCCAGGAGTTCGATCCTCTATATAGGACAGAATAGAGCTGGAAGGGACCTTGGAGGTCTTCTAGTCCAGTCCCTTCATTAAGCAGGATAACCTATACCATCTAAGACAAGTGGCTGTCTAGTCTCTTCTTAAAAACTTCCATTGATGGAAGCACCCACAACTTCTGGTGGCAAGCTGTTCCAATGGTTAATCGTCCTCACTGTTAGGAAGTTTCTCCTTAGTTGCTTCTGTCCTTGATTAGTTTCCACCCATTGATTCATGACCTGCCCTTGGGGGCTTTGGAGAATAACTTGACTCCCTCTTTTGGGGGGCAGCCCCTGAGATATTGGAAGGCTGCTGTCTTTAGACTAGCCAGACCCCAAACCTGCAGCCATTCTTCCTATGGTTTAGTCTCCAGGCCTTCGATCATCTTAGTTGCTCTTCTCTGAACTTTTTCCAAAGTCTCAACATTCTTTTATACTATGTCAACCAAAATTGGTTACAGAACTCCAGGTGTGGCCCTGAGCCTCCCATCCTTCTGGGGTGGCTCAAATGAGGGCCCAGATAGTTGGAGCCAACATGCTGACTCTGCAAAGCGCTTAGAGAGGGTAGTGAAAGCCCTGGGAAGCGACGTATACGTCTAAGGGCTAGTTCTATTGGAGTTATGGATGCTCCATCACTGGAGGCTTTCCAAAAACAGGTTAGACAACCATTTGACCTATTTGAGCAGAGGGTTAGACTAGAAGACCTCCAAGGCCCCCTCCAGCCCTAGAATTCTAGGTTCCTTCTCGGACGTACCTTCTATGGCTTCCTATTCCACAGCCTTTGGGTGCCCCCTGGAGAGAACTGGGGAGATCAATTTAGACTGGAAACTGGGGGTGGGGGTGGGGAATGGCACTTCAGGCCACCTGGACCCTTTGCCCTCCCGCGTCTGCCCACCGGCGGCAGTTCCATCGCCCAGGAGGCCTCCGGTGGAGCAACCTTCCATACCGATTGTGCCTGTATTTATACCAAGGGCGAGAACTCACCGGTCAGAATGAAACCCTGCTCAATGGCTACTCCGTTGGGGTCTCATGGAATCTGTGGTGATGATGCCCAGTTCTTCGCATGCCAATTTGCAGCCAAGTGGGGAGGGAGGAAGAGGAGGCCAAGGAGGGGGTCATCCCTCCCCCAATAACAAAGACACGGAGAGCTGCGCTCAGCCCCCTTCCCTCCACCCCTTTCACAGCCTTCAAATCTCACCCCCCAGCCCCCGCAGAAAGGGTGATCTTGTGGCTCTCCTCCTCCTCCTCCTTCTTCCTCTTCTTCTTCCTCTTCCTCTTCTCCTCTTCCTCTTCCTCCTCCTCCTCCTCCTTTTTCTCCTTCTCCCCACCACCTTCTCCTCCATTCTCTCCTGCAGGTGTAGAGGGCAGAAACCTGGCCTTAGGGAAGCCGGCCAGCCAGTCTTCCATCCATTCCCATGACATCATTGGATCAGCAGACAAAGCTGTGGATGGGAGCTGCACTGGGGATTGGTACCAAAAGTCCTGCACCCACACCAAAAATGAGAAAAACCCCTGGTGGTTGGTGGACCTGGGGGAGTCTCATAAAATCTCCATGGTGGTGGTGAAAAACCGGCAGGACTGCTGTGGCGAAAGGCTGCTTAAAGCGGAGGTCCGCTTAGGAGACTCTCTGGAGGACCATGGAAGAGCCAACCCCCTGTAAGTCGCTTTGAGTCATCCCCAACTGGGGTCCTCCGTGTAATTAGGGCATTGACGGAAGAGACAGAATCCACAGCCAGAGCAGGTGACTTTGGGATGCTGTTGAGTATGAGATGCCGACTTTGTCCTGGGGACCAAGGTGTCCTGAGTCCATTGGTGTGGAGATTGTGAGATCACCCCCCTCCTTGCTCCCCCAAGAGACGGGGAAAGAACTGATACCAACTGGCTAAGTTGTGGCCTCAATTGTTGGGGGGGACTGTGCGAACTCCGCCTGATTGTTGATTTTTGCTATCTAATATGTTGCAAATCTAGAACATAGGTTCCTTCTGAACTGGGTAAATCACCCCCCAGATGAGGCCACCTGGCTGTGGTATTAGAAAAAGGG